GTATGTTTGTGCGTGTGTGTTTTGAGAAAATCAGGTCGTCTACAGACAGTCGGCATTTTATTTTTAAATAAATGACCTCATACTCTCCCCGCCAAGAATAGTGTTCTCGTTTTACAAGTCGATTTGAATAAATGTTTTAGTCTAATGGTGTTTATATTTTCTTTTTTATTTTTCTGTTACAGTAGCAACAACATATCAAAACAATATGTCTGTCACTTCGGTACAACCAACTTCCGAAAGTCTTTCACGTCATGGGTAAATTTGAATTCTATTCATTAATAATTAATCATTAATTTATATCTAATTTGTTAAAGATAATGTTATTTTAATGTGTTTTATTTTGTTTTGTTCAACAGAAGCAACATTTCTCTCTCTTGTCACAGTTTATGTGATAGCGTGGATAGCAATAACCAGGGTTCGCATCCGCAATATCAAGACACGATTTTAACCATAGAAGAACTCCGTGCTCAATTGAACTCATGTTTTACGTGAGTAATTGATTATTGATGTGATCGAGAGAGAGGAAAAAAACACACACAAAATAAAAATGAAATATCACTTCAAAATTTATGTGTTATGTATACACTAAATAATCGTATTTCGGTAAATATCATTTTAATAGGTAAACTCATTAAAATATAATTAACACTAGATGTACCACCATTTTCAGTATACCTATTTCTACCACATTAGTCAAAATAACTGGTCTGGTATATCTAATGTTAAGAAAACAAATGAAACAATTAAATATATCATTGAAGTGTTATAAATTTAAAAAACAATATTTGTTTCTTTTTTTTTTGAAAGCATTGCACAATAAGTTTGCGTAGTAATGTAAACAACAAATATTGCAATACTTTTATATACAAGATGAGAAAACAAAAGTGGTACTACCATATTTTGTTTACTGTATCATTTAATTTTCCTCTCTTTGTGTATCTCCATTTATTCGAACCAAATAATATTTGTTATATTTTTATTTTAGGTGTGGGGTCTCTTGGAGTCAAGACCACGTTTCTCTGGATTGCAGTGAATGCGGAGGTTATTCTCTTCAACGACCTTGTCCGCTTTGCGATGGACGTTGTCGTAAGGAATGGAAACGTGATCTCACCATGGTAAAAAAATCTCTCTTTCATTATTCTTATTTGTTTTATTAACAACACGTTAAGTGTCAAGTTTATTTGGTATGGTGTTTCATTCGTCCTGAATTTTGTCATTTAGCAGAGTACGGTTATCTTTAATGCATGAGCTACAAACAAAGCAACTAAATGCGAAACTGTGAATAAAATACCGGTAATGAATGACTTATCGAATGTTCATTAACATTTATATTTCTTTTCCTGAAAGTTTTTGATCAAACAAAAATCAATGTCATTCCATTTTCACGGTTAATTATACAAGGACCACCGACATTATAAATTGTAAAGGATTGAACTTTAGAAGTTAGGTTATAAAACACCTTAACGTGTTAAACATATCAATTTGTATTCATTTACACATGTTTTTATAATTATAATCATTTTTGATGTTTTGTAGTCATTTATATTTTTTTTCCTGAAATTTTTTGATCAAACAAATTTCAATGTCGTTTCATTTTCACGGTCAATTATACAAGGACCACTGCATTATAAATGAAAATTAAAATTGTAAAGGATTGAACTTTAGAAGTTAGGTTATAAAACATCTTAACGTGTTAAACAAATCAATTTGTATTCATTTACACATGTTTTTATAATTACAACGACCTTTTTTATGTTTTGTAGTCTCATGCGAGTGGCAAAGCAAGATGGGACGGTGAATGTGGTTTATGTTGTGGACCTGCAGTTGAAGAATCTTTGGTACCAGCTTTAGAAAAGCTTAGGGCAACCTCGTGAATTTTCATCGATTAAAATATTATCATCGTCGTCGTCCTCGTCGTCGTCATAATTGTCATCTCGTTATCGTCGTTGCATCGTTGATAATTTGTCGAACAAGCATTCATCGGTTTTCATCTTTCGTCGTTGTCGAATCGAAATGAAACAAAATGAAATGAAATGAAACGAAACGAACAACAACAACAACTACTACTATGCAAATCATTGCACAAGACTTAATAATTCATCTCACCAATTTCATTTAGCATTTCTTCATCATTCTGTGATTATCATCATCATTATCATTCATCGTCATCATTATCATTATCATCATCGTTGCAATGTGAGATGTGTGAATGTGAATTACGTTTTAAATTTATTATGAAAGAAAGAAAGAAAGAAAGAAAGAAAGCGAAAGAGAAAATGAAAGTTAAGATAAAAACGTTCGTACAAATTTGAACAAAACAAATAAAAATGATGAAGAAGAAGAAGAAGAAGAAAATGAATTATACAGTTAAATTTATCGATACGAATTTTTAATGAATATTGAAATAAACAAAAAAATATATATATATATATAAGAAGAAAGTATCATTGAAATTCTTGCACTAATAATAGAAAACAATTTTATCTTCAAAAATTCATTGAATATTTATATCTTCGTTGAGTGAAAATTTACTTCCATCATTCTCTTTAAAAAAAAAAAAAAAGAGGGGAAATAAAAAAAATCAGTCCACGGTTTGTACTTTCCACTAGGTTTCTTTTTCTATTCTTCTTTTAAATTAGCTTTAAAATATTATTAAACTTTCTTGAGTATGATCTTAGATAGAAAAACAAAAAAAAGAAAAAAAAAATATATATATATATATATACACGTGTATTATATTATATCATCGAAGAAGAAATAAATCTTCTATAAAAAAAAAAAATTAAAATAAAAAAGAAAAAGATATTTCTCGGTACGAACATAAAGTATTTATTAAGTCAATAAAACATCTAATCACGATTGTAGTATTTAATTATTAATAGAACATTGATAAACATTTGTTCTTTTAACACTAGATATACCACCATTTTCATTATACCTATTTCTACCACACTAGTCAAAATGATTGGTGTATAAAAAAAAAAAAAGAAAATGCTTTTTGTGGCTTCCAGTCTTTAAAATTACTCTTAAAAAATAACAAAAAATGTTTAACAATAATAATTTTAATAAATAAATGGATTTGTATACATATTTTTCAATAATAAAACGCTTATAATTATATTTACAGAAATCAAATGTTACATGTGAAGTAAAAATTTTGAATTAAAATGGCCCGCCGGATCAGTCAAAATGACTGCTCTGGTATATTTAGTGTTAA